AAAGGAGGTGATGAAAGACAAGGGTGGCAGCAGGGAGACAACAGTGAAGGTGGGGGAAGAGAAATCAGATTCTAGGTCTTTCTATTTTATCTTTTTGTGTGTGTGTGTCAGGGGAGGCATGCCATGGGGCTTGCAGGATCTTAGTTCCCTGACCCGGGATCAAACCCGTGTCCTTGGCAGTGAAAGCCTAGAGTCTTAACCACTGGACCACCAAGGAATTTCCAGTATGCTCTTTTATTTTGAAATTTTTCAAGTAAGAAAAGTCCCGAGAATAATACAGTGAACACCTGCAGATCTTTCACATGTCTTCACCACTTAAAAAAAAAAAGTCCCTTTATTAGATGCTTGAGCATGTAATGGGCTTCCCTGGTGGCTCGGAGGTAAAGAATTTGCCTGCAATGCAGGAGACGCAGGTTTGATCCCTGTTTCGGGAAGATATCCTGGAGAAGAAAATGACAACCCACTTCAGTATTCTTACCTGCAAAATCCCATGGACAGAGGAACTTGGTGGACTACAGTCCACGGGGTGGCAGAGACACAACTCAGTGACTAAACGACAAATAGAAGAATGATGGAATTACATTTTCAGTATGGTATCTGGATACATCTTAAAAACTCAGAAGCTCTGAGTCCTCTTTGCTCCTGACTTAGGGAAAACATAATGACGCCATTCACCTTTTTTGTTAATGACTGCTAACTAGAAACCTTTTTTTTCCCTTTTCTTTTATGGGCACCTGCGAAGAGATTTGCAAGATAGGCGTTTCTGCTTTCTCGTTTTGAAGTGGAGTTCTCAAATATCAGGCCAGGTGCTAAACATATAGAGGGAAATAGTGGCTCAGGAAAACGTTAAGATATATTCAATAACTGGTTTGTTATGAAAGTTTATAATGCAGGAACAGCGAGATGGAAGAGAGGAAAAGGGCAAGGTCTGGGGCAAGGTCTCGCCCCATCTCTGTATGTTCATCAACCTGGAAGCCCCCCTCACTTCATATTATTTTTCTATATTTGCTTTACTTTTATCTTCCAAATTTTTAAATTTTCTATTGTTTTCATTGTGTGTGTGAAACTATTGAATTGGAACTTGCTGGATTATGCACCATGATTCCTACATTCTTTAAACATGTTATTTCCTTCAAACTAGAAATATAGCCATAATATGCTTATCAAATTCAAGGAAATTAATATTAACTCAACAGTATTATCTATTCCACAGTCTAATCAAATTTTGCCAGTTATCCCCTGGTGTCCTTTACAGCATCTTTTTTTTTCCAGTTGACGATCCCATATTGCATTTAGTCCTCAAGCCTCTTTACTCTTTTAAGTTCTGAAAGAGTGTCTCAGGCTTTCTTTGTTCTTCCTGCCACTGACATTTTTGAAGAGTAAGGGCCAGTTGCTTTTGTAAAGTGCCCTTCAATTTGGATCTGCCAGATATTTCTCAATGATTAGAGTCAGGTTTTGCATTTGTTTGCTAGGACAGAAGTGATCCTTTTCAGCGCATCATATCTGGAGCCTCTTGTTGGGTTTGTCCCATCACTGGTCATGTGAACTTTGATCGCTCTGGTTCAAGATCGTGTCTGTTAGTTTTCTCCGCTGTAAAGTTGCTACTTTCCTTAATGAATACATAGCTTGTGGACTATAAATGCATAGCTTTAACACTATAAAAATATCCTAAAAAAAAAAATATCCTATGTGCATGCCACACCTCCCTGCTCCAATTTCACCCAATGGTTTTAAACATTCATTCTTATCTGAATCCATTATTATTATATTGGTTCTAAATTGGTCTTTTTTAATCTTTATTATTATGTTGGTTTTAAATTGGTCTTTTTTAATCTTTATTATCATTATTTTTAATATCTATTTATTTGGCCACACCAGGTCTTAGTTGTGGGAAGCGGAATTTTTTTTTTAGTTACAATATGCAAATTCTTAATTGTGCCATGTGGTATCTTAGTTCCCTCACCTGGAGTTGAACCCATGCCCCCTGCAGTGGGAGCTGGGAGTCTTAACCACTGGATCGCCAAAGACCCTCTTGTCTTTTTGATAGTAGTCATTCTGACAGGTGCAAGGTGATAATCTCATTGCGGTTTTGATTTGCATTTCCTTGATGATTAGTGATATTGAACATCTTTTCATGTGTCTGTTGCCCATCTGTGTGTCTTCTTTGAAAAAATGCCTATTTGAGTCCTCTGCCCATTTCTATTCTTTTTAATTTTTCTTTTTCCTCTGCCCATTTTTAAATCAGATTTTTTTGTTGTTGTTATTGAGTTGCACGGGTTCCTTATGTATTTTGGATATTAACTCCTTATCAGATACATGATTTGCAAATATTTTCTCCTATTCTGTTGGTTGTCTTTTCATTTTGTTGATGGTTTCCTTTGTGGAGAAGCTTTCTAGTTTGATATAGTCCCATTTATTTTTGCTTCTGATGTCAAATCTAAAAAGTCATTGTCAACACCAATGTCAAGGAGATTATCATCTATATTTTCTTCTAGGAGTTTTATGGTTTCGAGTCTTACATTCAAGTTTTTAAATTATTTTGAGTTTACTTTTGCATATGGTATGAGAAAGTAGTACAGTTTGTTTCTTTTGAAAGTAGTATAGTTTTCCCAACACCATTTAATGAGGAGGCTGTCTTTTCCCTATAGCATATTCTTGACTCATTTGTCATAGGTTAATTGACAGATTAATTAATTGATATATTAATTAATCAATTAAGTGTGAGTTTGTTTCTGGGTTCTCTATTGTGTTTCATTGATCTATGTGTCTGTTTTTATGCCAGTGCCATACTGTTTTGATTACTATTTGATTATTATTTGTTTTGATTAGCATGAGATGTAGCTTGAAATCAGGGAACAAGATAGTTCTTTGGGTTCATCTTATACTTTCCAGGCTCCAGTCTTGGGGTCAGCCATTTTCCAAGGAGCCTGGTGGAAGATGCAATCCACTGCAGCCCAGGGCATACTTGCACACTCTTGCTATGCATGCATATGTCCATGCATGCTCAGTCTCTAAGTTGTGTCCACCTCTTTGTGACCCTATGGCCTGTAGCCCACCAGGCTCTTCTGTCCATGGAATTCTTCAGGCAAGAATACTGGAGGGGGTTGCCATTTCCTTCTCCAGGGGATCTTCCTGACCCAGGGATCGAACCCTCATCTCCTGTATTGGCAGGTACATTCTTTTATCATTGAGCCACCTGTGAAGCCCACACTCTTGCTGATATGCCAACAATACATGGTCCTGGCCGTTCTGTGTCCAGGCAGTTTCTCAAGGTTGTGTTGACAGTGAGTAACGCTGAGGGATGAAGTAATGTCTCCCTTCAGGACAAGGGCAAGTTTGCTTACCACCTACTCAAAAAGAAGGAAATTCTCCAAGCTCAGAGTTCCTCAGCTGTGGGGCAAGCCTCTCCGTGTTCACCCCTGTGCGAATCGGGGAGTAAGCGGAACTGAAGCAGACAGTGCACCTGCTGTTTGATGAGTGATGAGTGGTGGGTTTCTGTGTCTCTGACTCAGGAGTCTCATGTCTTTGTCAGACTAACTCGTTAGCTTGTGAGTTGGGTACAATCCCAGCCCCTGATATTGGCCTGTTTCAGTCACATGTCATGTACATATATTATTACTTGTGCAACATAAAAATTCCTGACGGAGGAAATGGCAACCCACTCCAGTATTCTTGCCTGGGAAATCCCATGGACAGAGGAGTCTCTCGGGCTACAGTCCATGTGGTCATAAAGAGTTGGACATGACCGAGTGACTGAGCACAACATATCAGTTTTGATTTTTTTTTTAAAAGAAAGGCAAAAAAAGAAAAAAAAATCATACATATACCAAAAGTCAAAGCTTACAAATTAAAGGAACATGAGAAAACAGCAACCACCCAAAGAAGAAAATAGAGAACTCTGCTCATTCCTACCCAACAAAATTTGTTAATCCCTCTGTAGATATCTTTTCAGTGTCTTCCATGTAGGTACCCACATTTTTATTAGTCTTCTGCAAAAATATCATACCATAAAGGGAGGGGGCTCAAGAGTGAGGGGATATATATATACTTAGAGCTGATTCATGTTGTACAGCAGAATCCAACGTGACACTGTAAAGCAATTATCCTCCAATTAAAATGAAAACAGGAAGGGGAGCTTCCCTCATGGCTGCCAATGCAGGAGGCACAGGTTTGATCCCTGATCTGGGAAGATCCCACATGCTGTGGAGCAACTAAAGCCCATACCCCACAACTATTGAGCCTGTGCTCTAGAGCCCCGGAGGTGCAGCTACTGGGCCCACGTGTAGCAACTACTAAAGCCCGCGTGCCCTAGAGCCCGTGCTCCGCAACAAGAGAAGCCACCGAAAGCCTGTGCAGCAACGAAGACCCAGCACAGCCAAAAGTGAGTAAATAAATATAAATTTTTAAAAATTAAAAAGATAAGATCATAGCATATTCAGTGCTTAATAACCACTTTGATTTAGTCAGGCAGTCCATGCCTGGGGCTGTTGCGGTGACCACCCCCAGCTTCTTGAGAAGTCCAGAGCCCACCAGGAATTTCACGCAGCTTGCAAAGGCTCTCACTGGCCCCCAGCCAAAGTCGAGGTCTTCCTCTTACCCTGGTATTTCCTGGGAGCTCCTGGGGCAGAAGAAGTGCTAGCCTTGGGGGCACACCACAGCTTGGGGACCACAAAGGCAAAGGAAACCGCCTTCCCCTCCCATCTCCTCCTCCACACCCCTTGGTTTTCAAGCACCCATCTCCACTAGCCCTGCTCTGACCCCTATACCTGTTCCAGAGTCACCAGCTTGCCATCCCATTTTCCAGCGAAGATCCAGGAATCCCCATTCCAGAACCCACCCACCATCCCCACCTGCTGCAGCTGAGACCCCAGAGCCCCTGTCATCACCTGGATGCCTCTCTCATCACACGGCAATGTAGGAGTGGGGCGGGTGGGACAGGATGCTGGGGGGTGGGTGGAGCCAGGGCCACTTCCTTTCCTCTTGGGGCCCCCGACCGCCAGTCTTGCCCCAGCTTCAGGAGGAGTTGGAGCAGCGTGGTTGCAGCCCTGTGCCCTTTTCAAGTGAGCTGGTAAGTGGTGGGACGTGGTGGGGCAGGGGCCTCAGTGGACCTGGGAATGTGCCTCTGGTTTGAGAAGACCTTGCCAGATGATGGGAAAAAAGGGCGAGGAGCTATCAGAGCTGCGTGGGGTCAGGGCAGGGCAGGTCGGGGGGCAATGGCTAGAGCGCACTGAGGGGTCCTGTGGGGTAGAGTTGATGGGGGTGCTGCCAGCATCTTGTGATTTCTGCCACTAGTGAAAGCAAGGGTGGAAAAGGCCGTTGAACCGCAGAGCTCGGCCCGGCAGTTGGCAGGGAAGTGGGCAGGAGGGGGGGAGCCTGGCTTAGTCCTCCCCCCACCCCCAGATCCTATGTGTTCTACTTCTCCAAATTCCCCACCCTCAGGTTCCAACTCCTGCTCATGCCCGTTGCTTTGAAAATGATCCTGCTTCTCTTCCTCTTCGGGAGCATGGAGGCAAAAAATGTGACTGAAGCATCTCCAAACAGCACTCCTTTGTGGACATCTGAAACCACAACACGCTCTCTTTCTTCGGTCTCTGGGATCCCAACTTTCAACTCAATGACAACCAGTCTTACAACAAACAAGTTCCCTGAGATGGGTGATAACCCTGGGACCCAGACTTTCCTGCTTTTCTCAATTCCCGATACAGCCAATGTGGTGTCCTCTCCTGAAACTTCCCCTGCTGCCAGCAGGGGCAGTCCTGTATCTGAGTCAACAATCTCCCAGGAAGATTCAACCAAGAAGTCAACAATGCCCATGAAAATCCCTGATGGCCCCAGCATACCTGGTGTCTCAGTAACGAAAACTATAGGATTCCCCACTATGACTGGTAAAACCATGGCAACTAGCCCTCTGGAGACCACCAATGGGACCAGTGAAACCCCTGTCACTATGGCAACTAGCCCTCTGGAGACCACCAATGGGACCAGTGGAACCCCTGTCACCATGGCAACTAGCCCTCTGGAGACCACCAATGGGACCAGTGGAACCCCTGTCGCCATGGCAACTAGCCCTCTGGAGACCTCCAGTGGGACCAGCAAACTCCTATTAACTATGGCAACTAGCTCTCTGGAGATCTCTGGTGGGACCAGTAGATCTCCTGTCACCATGGCAACAAGCTCTCTGGAGACCTCCAGTGGAACCAGTGAACCCCTTGTCACCACAGCAACTAACTCTCTGAAGACCATCAATATGACCAGTGGATCCCCCGTCATCATGAAAACTAGCTCTCCTGAGATCTCCAAGAGGATCAGTGGACTCTTGGTCACCATGCCAGCTACCTCTTTGAAGACTCCCATGGGGACCAGTGGCTCCTCTAGCCCTGGAGTAACACCATCCGGCCCAAATACCTCCACAAACGTAAGCGGGAGGAACAAACTCATTCCAGCTCAGGGGGCAAAAGGCACCCTGCTGGTGGCTGTGCTTGTGGCCCTGCTGGTGGTCGTTGTCCTCGGGGCATTGATCCTGTTGTGGCGCCGGCGGCAGAAGCGGAAGACAGGAGTCCTGACACTAAACAGGAGTGGAAAACGCAACGGGGTGGTAGATGCCTGGGCTGGGGTCGCCCGGGTGTCTGATGAGGAGGCCATGACAGCAACAGAGGGAGCGTCTGGAGGTAACAGTGACCCTGATGGCCCCCACAGGGAGGGGTCTGGCCAGCGACCCACACTCACCACTTTCTTTGGTAGACAGAAGTCTCGCCAGGGCTCCGTGGCACTGGAGGAGCGAAAGGCAGGGCCAGCCTCCAGCTTAAAGGCGGAAGAGGAGCCGCTGGTGGGCAACAAGGATGAGGGTGCAGAAGCCCCTACTTCTAATGGGCCAGAAGTGAAAGAGGTGAAGACCCCTTAATGCTCGAGAATCGCAAGACTGGAATTCAGAACCATTCCCACTTTCATCACCTTCCCTCCCATCATCACCAAGAGGTTGACATCCAACTTCTTCATCCATCACCAGCATTTCCACCCAGCACCCTTTGGATTTCAATGCAGCACCTTCACCCTGTCTTCATTCAGCTTCTTAACCCTGGCTCTTCTAGCCAGCATCCGCACCCAGCATCCACCCCCAGCACCGAGACCCAGGGCCTACACCCACTGAACACTTGCAAAACTTCCTCATCAACCCCTACTTCTCCCCATCACATTTTCTCCACATTTTGGTCCTTGAAACCAGCCGCTGAGTCTCCGGAGATGCCAAACTCCCTGGACTGATGATTTCTCAGCAGATACCAGAGTCTGGGAAGGAGTTGGCAACCCAGCAAGCTCCCACTTCAGAATTACTCTGGAAAGTACATTTGGCCCCATGGATTAGGACGTTTGTCCCGGATTAGCCCATGAACTGCCCGTAACTCTGGGTGCCCGTGGTCTGTGCCGGGCCGGCCTGGAGCATGGGCTGGGTGGTGTCACCCTGGGGTGCTTTCAATGTGTCTGTGATGGCCCCAGGCCCCTAGACTGGCCCACGGTCCCAGCTGCCACACTCCCCCCACCTCTGGATGGAGGCGGCCAGAGGCTTCAGTTGTTTCTCCTCCCAAGAGCAGAGGTGAGAAGTTTCTGGGCAGGTGTAGTTCTTAGAAGTCTTGGTGTCTGCGTGGGTCCACTCATGCGTGTGGTTTGTGTGCAGGAGGCGAGGACTTGGTGAAGTTTGTGAAGGACAGTGGGGGGTAGTACAGACAGTGTGAGGGAGGTGGCAGGGAGGGGACAGGAAGGGCTGGGGAGATGCCACCCTGAGGAGGTGCTGAGAACATAGGCGCCCTTGTCTTTGCTCAGATGGGGTGGAGGTGGAAGATTTAATTCTGTCTGTGGCCTGGCTTGAGAGAAAGACTGCATGTGTGACTGAGCATGGTTCTTCAACTCAGCCACAGAGTACCCCGTAACCCCCACCCCTACCCCCTCTTCTCCTCCCCCACCCTTCCAGCCACACTCTCCTCCACTTCCCACCCCCCGATTCTTTCATCCATCATCCCCTCCCCTACCCCCACTACCCCGCCAACGGTCACACTGAGTCCCAGGACTTGCTGATACTGTTACCCGTTTAATGTGTTTGTATGTTCTATTCCTCAAAGGGGGGGTCAGTGAGAGAGGGAGCTGTGACAAGTCCCAGAACCAGGAGCATCCCTGTGGCTCTGGGATGGAGAAAAGGGGACAAGACCCAGCTGCACCATCTCTGAGACCAGCTCAGGCTAGTGCCCTCAGCACCACGTGGACCCGGAGGCCGTTGGTATTTCCCCAGGGCAAAGAGGAAATTTGCAAAGAGGAAGTTGTTGAGTTAAGAGGAGCAGTGACCAAGAGCAGACGTACTGACCTATAAAAGGAGAGGGCGAGGGACACCATGGTGGTGTGACTGCCAGGTGGTTTGGATCAGAGGGGATGTGGGAGAGGGGGAAAAGGCTGGGTCAGTCAGTTCATGGGAGGGTGGGGGAGAGATGGGGAGAGAAATGGCGGAAAGTGGCCAGGGACCCACCCAGAATTGTGCCACCCACGCCCGGGCAAGCAGGGGTGGAAATCTAGTCTTCCCCACACATGTCTGGGTGCCTTTTTTTTTTTTTGGCCATGCCGTGCAAGCAGGAGGAATCTTAGTTCCCCAGCCAGATATGGAACCTGCACCTTTTATCTAAATAAAAATAATAATAAAATATTGAAAATACTCATTTTGTGCTGATGGTGAAATAACATTTTTCCTCTTTTGCAAAATTGCCAGCACTTTCTAGTATCTTAAATAATAGAACTCTCTCACACACCCAACCATATATGGTATCTTATTCTTCATCCTATATTTTAAAATGTGTGTTCCTATTTTATTTTCAAAAGCACACATTATAATCAGTTACAAATACAGCTTTGTCCAGTGCAAATTCCAGGTGGAAGAGGATTTTGGTCTTGAAAAATCTACTTGTGTAATTCACTTCTGCAGACAGGAAAAGAGTCTCAAATGCTCGAAGGATATCTCATTTCTAAAAGTGGATATTTACACTTCATTTTCCTCTGCATCCATAAGTCTGCTCCTATTCTGGGAAGTTTTGGGGTCCAACCATTAGCCATCAGAAAACTCAGGCTATTCTGCAGATCATCTATGTATCCCCAGCAACAAACTGCCAGTGGATGTCTTCAGGACAGCTAGCCAGACCATGGCCAGACCTGGGGTGCTTAGCAAACCTGCCTACCCAGCTTATGTCTTCAGGACAGCTAGCCAGACCATAGCCCAGATCCCCAGTGCTGCCAACCATGGAGAGGGCCACATACTCACTCCTGCATTTGCTCATGCTCTGCCTGAAGCCTGCCCACTCCCCATCTTGCCCACCCCACACACATCTTGACTTCCCTCCAACCTCCTCTTAACCATCAAGATGTTGCTCAAATGTCACTGCCTTTGCGAAGCCGCCCTAGCTGCCTCCATGCCCAGGAGTGGAGTTTCGGCTCCACTCCTACAGTCCTTATGTGACAGTAAGAACAACTGGGCTGTCTCATGTGAAGGTGTCCCCCGTTCCTGTCGTCTTTATGACTCCAGATTCCGGAGCCTGGCATGCTTACCTAATATGTGTTTACTGAATGAAAGAATAAATGAATGAAAGAATGAGCAAACAATGTTTTTCACGTAAGCCATGGCAAGATCAGATGTGTTCTGACTTTGGTTTTTGCAGGTACAAAGTTAATTATTAGAGACATAGCCCAACAACAAGTGGGAGAGCATGTAGAGAAACAGTTGTTTAGTTAATACAGAAGCAAGGCAGAGATGCACACCCAGAGAGAAAGGGTGGGGGCATCCCCACTGTGAGGAGGAGCCAGATCAGTTTTTTGAGCAGAACTGGCATCCAGGAGCATGGCCTGAAAGTAGTGTGGCCAGAGATGGAAGCATCAGCCTAGTTCAAGATAGATAGGGTGGGAGTCTGGTCTAAGGCAAAAGAAGAGGTCAGGCTTGAAATATATTTATCCGAAGAATAAGATTTGTAGAACTAATTGACTATTGAGATGATGGGAGGAAGAATGAAGTTAGACTCCAAGGTTTCTGTCTTGGGAGACGAAGATGCTGACATAATTATGTAAAAAAGGAGAGAGATGAGCAGTGTGGGGAGAAAACATGAGTATTTATGTACTTACGTATTTATTTCTATTTTGGCTGCTCTGGACAGCTTGCAGGACATCAATTCCCCAACCAGGGGTTGAACCCCAGGCCACAGCAGTGAAAATGCTGAATCCTAACTACTAGATGACTAAACTCCATGAGTTTGTTTTTAGAACTGTCAGGAGGAATGTTAGAAGTAGAGACCTGAAACTTTGGAGGGATCAGAGCTGGAGAAATAGAGTCATCTGAGTTTGCATAGCAATTTAAATAATGGCACTGATGGATAAATGCACAAACTGTATCATTCATTGTGTAGAATGAGAAAAGGAGAGAGCTGTGGAGAGAATCTTCTTGTGTTAGGGCAAGCTAATTGCTATTAATAAGCAACCACCAAATCTCAGGGCTAAAACTCAAAAGAAGCTTTTTCTTGCTTATGCAAAAATTTAGTGTTGGTATTTGGAGGGCAGCCTTCCCCGGGGCCACTCAGGGACCCAGGCTCCCTCTGTCTTATGGCTCTGCCATTCCTAGGGAGGATCATGGGGAGACTGGAAGTGGCCTGTATCACTTTTGCTCACATTCCACCAGACAGAATTCAATTACATGGTGGTCTCTTTTCCCTGGGGGCTGGGAAATGTAGTTTAGCTGTGTACTCAGGAGGGAAGGGGTTTCCCAGGTGGCGGGAGTGGTAAAGAATCTGCCTGCCAATGCAGGAAGAGACATGGGTTCAATCCCTGGGTCAGGAAGATTTCCCTAGAAGAGGGCATGGCAACCCACTCCAGTATTCTTGCCTGGAGAATCCCATGGACAGAGGAGCCTGGCGGGCTACAGTCCATAGGGTTGCACAGTTGGACATGACTGAAGCGACTTAGCATGTATGCTCGCCAGGAGGGAAAGAGGAACCGTCCTCACCACACTGAGGGGACACCACAATTTGAGGAAGAAGGATCTGCAGGAGACAGAAGAGAGCCTTGAGGAGAGAAACCAAGAGAAAATGACGTCTAGGGGGAAAAAAGGGAGAAATGGTTCGGAGAAGGGCTGTCAGGAACTAGCCTAGACTAGAGAGAGGCAAGCAAGGAGCTGAGGTGCAAGAATGGAGCTCGAGCTTGAGCTCCTTCACTTCTGTGCCCCAGGACCCTTGCGTGCCTCATGTGAGTCCAGGTCCTGCTGGGGTCGAGTGCTACAGAGGCAGAAATCAGAGAAGTCTGGGAAGAGGCCAGGGTCTAGCAATCAGTGGTCCCAGCAACTTTAGCAGGTGGTTCCGAGGAAGAAATGGAATCTCCAGCACTTCTGGAACAGGAACTTGCCCAAAGTCCCAGTACCATAATTGGCAGTTTCCTGGTTTTCTTGTTCAGAAGCCCGGCTCTAATCTGCTCAGGGCCCTAAAAGTACTTTGGAAAGAAGGAAGGGAAGGGAAGTGGCTATATGCTAAGTTTCTACTCTGTCAGCCGTGGAGTTTTTCACTTGAGTCTCAGCTGAAACCATGAGGATGGTGTTACCCCATTTTACAGCTAAGGAAATGGAGGAACAGAAAAAGGTAAAGAGGTATCTGAGATCAAAATGGGTGGAAGTAGGATCTCCCCAGTGCACCATCAGAAAGGCTCTCCCAGGGCTTCCCTGGTGGCTCAGTGGTATTAGTAAAGAACCCACCTGCCAATGCAGGAGACACGGGTTTGATCTGGGAAGATCCCACACACAGAGGAGCAACTAAGCCCGTGTACCACAACAACTGAGGCCACATGCCCTAGAGCCCAAGCTCGGCAACAAGAGAAGCCACCGCAATGAGAAGCCCATGCAGTGAAACTAGAGACTAGACCCCGCTCACCACAACTCAAGAAAAGCCAGTACAGCAATGAAGACCCAGCATGGCCAAAGATAAAAAAATAAAATTATTATTATTTTTTTTTATAAAAAGGCTCTCCAGCCCGGGGCAGGGCCTGGGAGGCTAGTGACTGGCAAGAATAGGAACCCTCCGCTCAGAGAGGAGAGGACCTCTGAGCTGTTGCAGTTGAGTGTCCTGGAGGCAGGAGGGTGCCCCAGACAGGGGCAGGGCTCTGGTGGGGTGATGGGGCTGGTCAGGCCGGCCCCACCCACCTCCCTCCAGCAGCCCCACCCCCAGCCCCCGGCCTCTCCAAACACTGGATCCAGCAGTGGACACACCAGTCGGCCAGCTCCAAGCTCTCATGGATCCTGAAGGTAAAGAAGCCTCCCAGACCTCTCTCCCCTGTGTCCCTGCACCACCCTCTGCCCCTCTTCCACCGATCCCCACATCCCATCTCGCCTCCGTCCCCAGCCTCCCTCCTCCAAGGTCTAGTCTCTGCTGGTCGCCAGCTACTCTCTTACCTACCCTTGTCTCCCTCCAGCCTCTCTGAACCCAAACACTCCTTTCTGCCCTCCAAAGGCCTCTTTCTCACTCTTGTTTCTCTCTCCACCACGGGTCCCCCAGTTGAGCTCTGGGGGAGAAAGGAGCTTGAGCTCTGGGAGATTCAGGGATGGCCTGGAAGTGGCCACATCTTTGAGGGTGCTGAAGGTGCCGGGTAGTGGGAGGCTGGAGCAGCTCCGGACTTTGCCCCTCGCTCACAACTCTGGAGGAGTGAGGCAAAGTCCTGTCCCATGCACCGCCAGGGCGGGGGAGGGGGCCTGAGTCCTGTGAGTCCTGGGATTCGAATGCATGAGAGGAGTGATGCCCAGAGGAGGCTGGATGCAGGATGGTACAGGCCAGGCTTTGGAGTAAAAAAAACCTCCTTTTCAAATCCAGGCTCCACCAGGAATAGGCTGTGTGACCTTGAGCCAGTCACTGAGGTCTCAGGGCCCCACTTCCTTGTATCAGCAAAATGATAATACTATTAATAGTTTCCTGCTCCCCAGGTTGGGGCTAGGGGCAGGGAGTGACAGGAACATGGAGGCCTCCCAGAAGCTTCACAGTCCCCTCTCCAGGCTTCTCCTTCCCCAGCTCTGGCCTCCCTCTCCTAGTCCGATGCTTCTTCAGGGCCCACACCTGGCCCCTCTGGTTTGGCTGTGGAACCAGTTCTTGGGGAGTCAAGACCCGCTCTTAGTTTAGAAATTATCTCAGAGGACTTCCCTGGTGGTACAGTGGATAGGAATCCGCCTGCCAATGAAGGGGACACGGGTTCGATCCCTGATTCGGGAAGATCCCACATGCCGCGGGCTCCTAAACTCCGCGTGCCCGTAGCTACTGAGCCTGTGTGCTGCAGCTACTGAAGCCTGTGGGCCTAGAGCCTGTGCTCCCAACAAGAGAAGCCGCCACAATGAGAAGCCTGTGCACTGCAATCAAGAGTGGCCCCCTGCTCACCGCAACTATGCTTCCCTGGTGGTTCAGACAGTAAAGCATCTGCCTGCAATGTGGGAGACCCGGGTTCGATTGCTGGGTCGGGCAGATCCCCTAGAGAAGGAAATGGCAACACACTCCAGTACTCTTGCTTGGAAAAATCCCATGGACAGTAGAGCCTGGTAGGTTATGGACCACAGGGTCGCAAAGAGTCAGACACAACTGAGCGACTTCACTTTCCTTTCTGTTCTACTGCAACTATAGAAAGCTGGTGTGCAGCAACAAAGACCCAGAACAACC